TTAATTCCGTGGCTTTGGTGAGACGCAGTCTGGGCACCAGCAGCGAGTGGATTATGCGTTCAACAGCCGCCCCCCCCCCCCCAACCCCAGTTATTTTGTCTCAAGGCACTGCTCACGTCTGAGAAAGGGCTTAGCCCGACGAGCGAGAGAGAGAGCGCATGGTCAAGCAACACGCCGCGTGCCAGCCATGGGATTGAGGAGGGTTCAAAGGGGGTGGGGGGTGGTGGGGGTGCTTTGGGTTGGGCACGACACCGGGGTGGGTGGCAGTGCGAAGCCGGGGGAGGGGGGGGGGGGCTAAGGGCTGCGTAGGTGGCGGGGAGAAACGCAGCACCCGAGTCGCGTGCAGAGCGTCCAACGACGACGACGAGTGACTGACTTAATGACAAGTGACTGCCCCCACGACGACACGTGACTGCCCCAACGACGACACGTGACTGCCCCAACGACGACACGTGACTGCCCCAACGACGACAAGTGACTGTCCCAATGACGACACGTGACTGCCTTAACGACGACAAGTGACTGCCCCAACGACGACACGTGACTGCCCCAACGACGACACGTGACTGCCTTAACGACGACAAGTGACTGCCCCAACGACGACACGTGACTGCCCCAACGACGACAAGTGACTGCCCCAACGACGACACGTGACTGCCCCAATGACGACACGTGACTGCCCCATCGACGACAAGTGACTGCCCCATCGACGACACGTGACTGCCCCAACGACGACAAGTGACTGCCCCAACGACGACACGTGACTGCCCCAATGACGACACGTGACTGCCCCAACGACGACAAGTGACTGCCCCAACGACGACAAGTGACTGCCCCAACGACGACAAGTGACTGCCCCATCGACGACACGTGACTGCCCCATCGACGACACGTGACTGCCCCATCGACGACACGTGACTGCCCCAACAACGACAAGTGACTGTCCCAATGACGACACGTGACTGCCTTAACGACGACAAGTGACTGCCCCAACGACGACAAGTGACTGCCCTATCGACGACAAGTGACTGCCCCAACGACGACACGTGACTGCCCCATCGACGACACGTGACTGCCCCAACAACGACAAGTGGCCTGCCCCAACGACGACACGTGACTGCCCCAACGACGACAAGTGACTGCCCCAACGACGACACGTGACTGCCCCAACGACGACACGTGACTGCCCCAACGACGACAAGTGACTGCCCCAACGACGACACGTGACTGCCCCAACAACGACAAGTGACTGCCCCAACGACGACAAGTGACTGCCCCAACAACGACAAGTGACTGCCCCATCGACGACAAGTGACTGCCTTAACGACGACAAGTGACTGCCCCAACGACGATAAGTGACTGCCCCAGTGACAAGTGACTGCCCCATCAGCTCCGAGGTATTATCGTCATAACGTGGCGCCGTTTTGCCTGCTAGACGTGCGCTACTGTGGGTGTTGGGTGATGTGTAGAGAATTGATTTTGCATGGAATGGCTTCGCCATTTTACGGCACTGTAGAAATCAGTGATTTTTACCGTATTCTCCCGAGTGAAAGCTACACTTGCAAAGATACTCTTGCTAAGATACTATTTCCCATCCCCACAGCGCTGTATTTTAAAACAATGGATTCTGACCCCCACTGCCCCCCCCCCCCTCAGCCCACCCAATATATGTACGTAAAATTTTAATCATAATAAACAAATGTTTTAAACAAATTTTAAGATTTCCATTTTTACGGTGGTATCTGGAACAGAAATGGAATCCATCTGTACCTTAAAACGGAGAATGTCAGGAACCTCCATATGAAAAGCCAAATGTTGAGAGGCTGCGGTAGATCTGTGTTGTAGGTGTGTGTGTAGGTGTGTGCGCGTGTGTCACTGAGACCAGGGGAGCGGCAGTGCAGGGGTTAGCACGCTGCGGCTCCAAAACAAGTCACCCGAGTTCGATAAACCATTCCTGGGCCTCCCCTAGGTCGACTTAGCCTCAAATCAGTACCTGGTGCAGTGTGTGAACATCAGCACTAGGGAGACAAAGGTTGCGGAGCGTATCTCCTTGCCACCCACCCCGAGTGTTCCTTGCCGGCCTTTTTAGGCGATCGCTATGTATGCGCTATGTTGAACTTCTTTCGCACCGTACACAGTCAACCGTGCTAATCGGAGGTGCGTAAAGTTCGTCAAAAGAACTTTCTCGAACGGTTTGTTAAGGCTATGCGGGGTGATCTTTGTCTTGTCGTGACCAGATTTGCGTAACATTATTGACACTGGCTACAGGCTTTGGTCCACGTCTTAATTTCTGGAGCGTTTCGTAATCCAGAGAATCCGGGGTCGAGCTTGTAAAATGAATTACAAAGGGGTTCGAAAATTGGGCGGACGAGGCAAACGCGTGAGAAAATACTGCGTGGACGTTCCGAAACGAAGCCACGCAGGCAATATTGAATGAGCAAAGGAAATGAGCATTCCCACTTAGGCGCGTTGTAATCGCAGCTCCGGTAAAAGGGGAAAACGCTGGCTGGCATTTTTCCAATATCCGACTTCGATGCGTTAGTTTTGCTATTTGATCGCGCTACCATCAAGGAGGTAATTTCATTTGACGATAATTTTACACATCGCCCAAAAATGCTCAACGATAACTTTCAGCCTTTACATTGGCAAGGGGGTAACTCACGCAGCAAAAACATTGAGAAGTTTTCACTCGTGTACACAGTGGCCTTTGAACTAAATGCGTGTGATTTTTTTGGGATAAATATGGATTAACTAATACAAATAATGATGTTTTAAACACACACACACACTCAATAGATTCCTCTTTTGTTTGTTTGGTAAAGACTTACATAGAAGATGGGGAAAGAAAAGTCATCAACATCGTCATCATTGCCATCGTCATGGAGGTGGGCCAGAAAATGGAAAGGTTGAGTATTATCTCAATGTATCTCTGGGTTTTCTCGGGGTACTTCGGCTTCCTCCCATATGCCAAAATGGCATCAGCGAAACAATCTCAATATATATTTTTAAGCGAGTCTTGAGACTCAACGAAGCCTTCCTGGGGAAAACATTTCCAGTAATTTTCTTTTGGTCTTTCTGTAACAATGCGAGTGGACGTGTTACTGGAACCAGCTGTAACTTTACGGATTCATGCATTAATTAAAAACCTTACTTTAAAACCAGCTCAAATTTCAAATATACCTACACAGCCTCCGTTGCTCCTCGGCCTATATTTGGGGGCCAATCAACCGTGAAAGAAATCTCCATAAATACACCGCTTGCCAATGTAAACCGTGGCCAGATGTGCGAAACATCATCTGGCAATCGTAATTGTCAGATGTTATTAATCGCTTTGGCGAAAGGACACCCCTTCCCATGCCTGCCGAACCCCGATGGCTCGTTCCAGTGACGACGTCGTCGCTGGCGGCGTGCAATCCCGCCGTGTAAAAGGCGGCCGCGTGAAACCGTCGCGAGCGCGGATTAGCACTCTGCCTCGCGCTCGCCAAGAGAGCCGTGGCGAGCACGACGTCCCACACAAGCCGCTTGTAAAAAAGTGTTAATTATAGCGGCCGCGCGGCGTCCGTGACCGGTTCTGGCTGGCGCGCAGCTCGGGTGCTCTGCCGTTTGCCAGAAAAGAAAATAAATGACAGGCGCCCGCCAACGCGGCGAGGGGCCGCACGCGCTTTAGCGTGCGCCTCGTTATTGTTCCGCAGCGCCAGCACAACTTTATGGCTGGTGAGAAATTCAGATTTCTTTTTTTTTTATATAATCACGCGGTTAGCATTGTGATGGCTTGGTGGGGGGTGGGGGGGGGAAACGATTGACCGGTTTGGTTTGTCAATGTCGCGGCACAAAATCCACGGTCAGTCAGCCTTTGTTTATAATCAAGGGTTTTTGGGTTAGATCGCGTTATTTATAAATGTGTCGTAACCCTCCACCACCCGACACGGCCAATCAGCAAAAAAAGTGTCACGTTGACAAAAGACAAATAGTTCACTACTTTAGCCCACCGGGGTGTTGAAGAGTGAATCCACAACATTTAGTTTGAGTACGACGTTTCGCTGGTAATTACATCCAGCATCATCGGGCAATTCGCTAAAAGGTTAGTTGAGCACAGCCAAAATTACATTCACAATGGATATGGGTAAAAATTCGAGGTTTTTATTACACTTCCACATATTAACCACAATTATTCGACTGAATAAATCTATTCAGTTAGGATATGAAGGTTGGACTTACATTCCATACGCACGCAGTATATCCATGAACCTGCTTGAGCATGCGTGATGCATCGTGACAAATCAAACGCGGTGTACGTATGGCAATGATATATATATGCACGGCGGGAAAAATCGACCACTGAACAATCCCTTCCTTCATTACTTTCAAAACGTTTCCGTGGCATTCACTCGCCGCTCGTTTACAACAGGCTGCGCGGAGCCAGCGTGAGGAGAGAGCCCTCGTTCACCTCCGACGCCCTCCTCCCCCGCCACCACCCCCTCTGAAACAAAGGTGGCCCAGCGCGGCATGAAGCCGGTCGCGGCTGGGCGATCTTGGTGGCCGCGCAGAATTTCGCCACGAATCAAAGCGGTGGCCGCCGCCACCCCCCCCACCCCCCCCTCACCGACACCCGTCCGGTGCTGGCCGAGCTACGTTTGGCTTCCGGATGCCGAACGAATACATTGCTAAGGTCGCAACTCGTCACACGCGAAGCGCTCGCCACAAATGAACCACAATACCTCGGAGATCTCGTCGAGGGGCATGAACCATCGCACGGGCTCCGGTCACCATTCGTGCGCGAGCGAGTGGGAGCTGCTCGGGCAAGGGGCTGCCCCCTGGTCCGTGGCCCTCGATTTGGCGTCGCTCGGGTTATTTTTCTTCAAGTGAGCGTGCCATTTGCGCGCGCCGGGTGTCGAGAGAAGTGTCTGCCAGCCAAACCCTTATGCTTCTCTCTCTCTCTTCCACCCCCCACCACCACCCCTTACACTTTACTTGGGACTGTACACTGTGCCTCTGTACAGGGTGACCTTAAACGAATGGAGAAACAGATGTGGAGATGTTCTCGTGCTTTGTGGGAAAGGTGGCCAGTCGGCTCAAGCAGAACATTTCCACGGGCACGGGACCAAGCCATCACTGCGGAGATCCTGGTGATTTATAACCCATTGTCATCTGATACGCCTTATTATCCATGCCCCGGCATTGATCCGTGCAGACTCCCATTATCCACGTGACAATTCTTGATATTATCTGAGTGCCTTTGTGCAGATTAGACGAGCATACCCGGAGGTGGTAGCAAATTCATCCCATTATCAGAGCATTTGCACAGATAAGAGGGTATCGCCTGCACGTGGGTGGCACATGCATCCAATTGTCCATGCTCATCTCTTCTCCACTGCACAGATACAATGAGAACATTAGCATGGATAAACAGGGATTAAAAAAAAAGGATCCGTCCCGATGGTCCTCCAACATCAACTCAGTTTAGAGGGGGGGTTCCACGGTGTTGTGTTTTGTTCTCCAAAAAAACGGGGGGGGGGGAGCAAACATGAGTCCGCAGAACGTGCAATGAATTGACGTTTGCATTGGTCACGTCGGGCATCCGTTAGAATTATTTTGCGAAGGCGTAGAGCGCCGCGTCAGTCAGTAGCTACCGTGTGAAGCAAAACTTTTCACTTTTTTATCCTAAATGGGGCCTTTGTTTGTTTTGCTCCTGAGCATTCCCTAAGGGAGAGCGCAGTGAGAGGGGGGGCCCGGCTGTGTGCATGTGCACGCGCGTGGAAAGCTCCAGCGGTTTCTTACCCATCTTTTCATTTAAGTGATCGGCCATCTGCATCGCGTTATGTTCGACCAAACCTTGCAAAATTAGCGGCGCTTTCGTTATTAAACGTTTCAAGGGCACCTCCTCGGTAATTCGTTTTAACAAAGGTCGTGTATTAGAGGTTGCCGGCAGTATTATTAAACCTCCCACGTGTTTTTGCCGATAATCACTCTGGATCTGATTTGCATATTTCTTGGCACGCTTTTTCAGAAATTTCGCAACATTGGAGCCCTGTCGATGAACGTGAAGTATTCATTACGCGCGCCCGCCCAGCCGCGCCAAGAGTGAATTCGCTCGACGTTGTTTCAACTTTGTCGAAAAATAAATACGCAACATAAATTAATAAATGCATTTTCACGCACTTGAATATCAACGATTTCATGTTTCATTTTGGACGCGTTTTTTTTTTACTCCGCGCTGACACAAGACGTGCTGTGTTTTGCAGACGGCGTGATTAGCAAAGTCTGCAGTCTAGCAAGCGACACGGCAGTATTAGAGTTACACGATGTTAAAATAGCAGCGGGAGGACCTATTAAAGTACAGAGCACGCTATATTTTAATGAAAGCCCGTACAGTAACAGCTCGTGTCTGTAACGACGTGCGCTGGGCATCCAGATGAGTCCCAGCGGCATAGACACTTGTACTAGAGTAGAAGGCGTCCTTTTCACAGTCCAGACACACACACACCCTCATACGTACAAAGACCCACACACAAACAACCGCCCTCCCCCTGGATATTTATATCGACCGATGAAATATTTACATTGGCAAAAAAAACCGCTCACCAAGGAGCGATCGGGACAGGCCTGAAAGAACGTTTTCTAATCAAGTGAAGCTTTACTGAGAGAATATAAGTACACAAAAACGTATTGTTAACATTTTAATTGTGCGCACTTCCAAACGTCTGAATAGTCAAGCTTGTGAACGAGGGATTCATCATCAACTTTGCCAATCAAGGCGGATGTACTCGAGGTGTATTTGCAGAAGTCGCATGCGAACAACGGCTCATTACTGAGAACCATCTTCAGGGATGATTGGGCCTTTCAGTGTTCAGATTATTATAATGGAAGGATAAAATATCCCATGATTCACACCCAAAAAAAAGCAAATTATCCATACGGGAAGTGCTCACCGCCGTGACACTTTGTGGTGAGCATCGCACCTAATTGGTGGATTTTAAAGCCGAGCAGAGATGAGACCCACCCGCCCGGCGGGCCGGCCGGCCTACACCCCACCACGGCCTCACTCTACAAAGCACAGCAGCGGCTCTGGTTAATAAGAAACACAAGGACGACATTACGCTAAGTGCAGGGGCAGCACAGCAAGAGGCGGCTAATGACCTGGACAACTGAACAAACAGGCTGGCTGTTTTTTTGGGCCGACGCTAAGTTAATAGTGGCAGTGTGCTTGATCACTGACACATGCACGGCCCCGCGCATAGGAAGACCCCTGAAGGAGTTAAAGGAGGAGGGCAATTACAGCGGCTCGGAGCGTAAAACAAAAGACAAACGCGGCCACAGCTGCGGCTTCCGAGAAAAGTCTGGGCCCGAGTGAATGGAGTTTGTTAGAGGTTTACTGGCGCGGATGGGTTAAAGCGGCGGGTTGCTTTCTGCGAGGCTAAGGGTTTGTTGTTTAGCCACGCCGGCTATTGTGCCAATGGGATTACCACAGCGGGGCGAAGCTCCCTCCCATTCAGCGAGGAAGCCCAACGCGTATTGTGCACGCCGCACTCCAACGGGCGCTGCGTGTCGCAGTGAAGGGGCGCGCTGTAACCCGTGGCTGTGATGACCGCTCTAAAACGGCGGCAGCGCCGGGCTACCGTAAATGCGGAGACAATGGAAGGCATCAGACACGCCATCATTTCACAGCCACGTAAATCGGAAACGCGAGCAAAAACACCGCAAGACACCGGCAGAAGGGAATCGGTCACAGTAACGGCCAATTTCTGAACTTCCTTTCCAGGGTCGTTTTGCATTAGAGCATTTAAAATGAGAGTTGCGACAATGCGATAATGCTTCGATGTATACATTACGAAGGTCGTGATGCGTGTGTCAAAATGTGCACGCACGTATCGACGTTCAGAGATATGTATACATTGTATGTAATGGGTTTGTGTGACGTCTGCAGCCACTAGAGGCGGAGATATCCACCACAATTTTCAAGAAATAATCGATTTCTGCATACAATGCCAACCCTGAATCAAGTAATGTCATCAAATGTTCAGGAAAGTGAACTATTATAGAATACAGAACACTTACTATATAAGAGGGCATGATGCACATTTGAGAATGGCAATCAATAATACGCATATGTTGCATTGCAACATAGACAAACGGCAATCTGTGTAGTGCCTTGTGTGCATGGATAGCCAAATCAATTCAACTCGAGTTCACTTGGGTGTGTCCAACGTTTCCAGAAACTCGAATTGACTGACAACTCGATTTGCAATGGCAATTCCATGAAATTCCCAGTTGCTCGCATCAACAAGCGAGTTGGGAAAGTCAATAGCCCACGACGTGTGAAGTTGAACGTTCCCGTCGCCTACAATATCCCGTGTTTGGCGATAATGCGTCTGCTTACTCGGATTGTGACATCGAAATCCGGACAACAGCCAGCAAAAGCAAAATTTGCTCGGGCATAACTCGGGCTTCGAGCCAAATCTGGCAGGCGAACCCAAGTTGCCCGAAATCATTGCGCACGTGGTGTGGTGTTGGGGGGGGGGCGATCAACTCGAGTTCCGTTGTCCATGCAAAGGCGCTATTTGGAATAAATCGTAAAAGATGCCACTTCCGAATAACACTCGCGCGCAAGTAATGTTACCGCTCGTGAAACGGCACGCAAAAAGAAAGCAACTCTCGCTACAGTTTGGTCACACATGGGACCGGGAGGAGTTTTTTTGCGACACCAACAGGAATTACGTTGCGAGACATTGCGGCTGAAAGGAGCCAGAGGAGAGCGCGGCGTTCTTCCGAGTCTAAACAAGCTATTAGCTATTATTTTTTTCTTCTAAACGCCACATCTGGTTTGTGTCTGCGTACAGGGAACAAAAGTACTCCCACTTTCATTGTAAAAAAACTCCTTTTACTTCCAGTGAGTGCGAGGCGCAGCTTGACATGGGACATTTTTAACTCTTCGATTGGTTCCAGAATTGACGTGCGGCGCAATGGTGGCCATTCGCTTGTTCCATTCTGCGGATCGGCCTCCTCCGAGATTCGTGCAAGATGCGTACACGTTTAAAACAATGCAGGCAATTGTTACGCCAGACGACTCCGAGTTGTATTCGCTGCAGCGTTGACGATGCGAGCAGCACGAAGCCTGACTCAACACATTCCGAGCATGCAGCGTGCAACTTTACTCTTCCAGTGCACTTGCGTTCTGGGGGGAGCACACGCTTGCAAATCCGTAAGGTGGGAGGTCACGTGGCGTGCTCCCAGCCAATGAGGAATGCGTGCCGATGCTACGTGAAAGTTGTCGGTACCAATTTAAAATGTGGGTAACCAGCCACTGCCCATGCAGGCAGTGATTAATGATGGTATTTTGAAAAGTACGCATTTATAAAGATTAATGTATCGATGGTTGGTATGGTTGCACATTTATTTACTTACTGTGTAAATTGCATTTGCGGCCTATTAGTCTTCCTGCCATAGCGAGCGGTCCTGCAGAATGAGTGAGCAGCCTGCTGCTATATATATTTTTTTGTATCATCATAAACAGCAATGTTACAGTCACACCGGTCCTCCTGCAAGGGATGCTGCCGTGGTGAGACGGTTAGCACACTGGGCTTTGAAATCCAGAGACAGGCTGGTCCCTTCACCTGATGCAGGCCGCTTGTGTTGTGGCCGAAACGTCGTGATTTTTGTTGTTTTATTTTTCTACCTACGTGACTTTACCGAATAGAACCAAAGAGTATGGATCCTTGCAGTCACGAAAGCTTTAAATCTAGAATCCAGAGGTTGTCGATTTTCATTTCCCAACGTGGAAGTTAGAAATAATAGGCAAGTTGCTGGATTCGCCCCACTTCTCTGTCCACCCAGCAAGATACGTGGGTACAGCACACTTAGCACAGCAAGATACATGGGTACAGCACACTTAGCACAGCAAGATACGTGGGTACAGCACACTTAGCACAGCAAGATACGTGGGTACAGCACACTTAGCACAGCAAGATACGTGGGTACAGCACACTTAGCACAGCAAGATACGTGGGTACAGCACACTTAGCACAGCAAGATACGTGGGTACAGCACACTTAGCACAGCAAGATACGTGGGTACAGCACACTTAGCACAGCAAGATACGTGGGTACAGCACACTTAGCACAGCAAGATACGTGGGTACAGCACACTTAGCACAGCAAGATACGTGGGTACAGCACACTTAGCACAGCAAGATACGTGGGTACAGCACACTTAGCACAGCAAGATACGTGGGTACAGCACACTTAGCACAGCAAGATACGTGGGTACAGCACACTTGGCACAGCAAGATACGTGGGTACAGCACACTTAGCACAGCAAGATACGTGGGTACAGCACACTTAGCACAGCAAGATACGTGGGTACAGCACACTTAGCACAGCAAGATACGTGGGTACAGCACACTTAGCACAGCAAGATACGTGAGCACAGCAAGATACGTGGGTACAGCACACTTGGCACAGCAAGATACGTGGGTACAGCACACTTAGCACAGCAAGATACGTGGGTACAGCACACTTAGCACAGCAAGATACGTGGGTACAGCACACTTAGCACAGCAAGATACGTGGGTACAGCAAGATACGTGGGTACAGCACACTTAGCACAGCAAGATACGTGGGTACAGGACACTTAGCACATCAGCAGGTCGTGTGTGCTGTAGCAAAGTGTAGATACTCCCACCTTTTCGAAGACTGTGGCTAGATGTTAACTACCTCGCCTTGTATTGCAGGAGGTCATGGGGTTTCGATCCTGACCCGCTTGTGCCTGTATTTTGAAGTTTGCATGTTCTCCCCGGGGTCGCGATAATTTTTTTTCTGGGTCCTCCGGTTTTCCCCTCCACGTTTCGGATCGACGTGCCTTTTAGAGTATTGGGCTGCTATCTCAATGTCCACGCGATAAGCCGCTTCGTTGAGCCATCATTTTGTGGCCAGGTCGCTTCTGAAAAAGAGCTACGTAGCTCAAGTGGGCACAACCTGGTAAAATAAATATAGGTATTTTTTATAGTTTAGTTTACGTCCGGCCAGTTTGGAAGAGTAGGCCAACATACCCTTCAGAACTCCCTCTCTAGTGGAGGTCCTTGCACCAGCAGTGGCGTGAGCAAGCAATTGCAGGGTAGCACCTTTTCCTTCATGATGATGCAAAACAGCCACTGAGCAGCCCC